TCATAGATGAAATAAGTGTTTTTCAATTCAGTTTTTATTGTTTGTTTGAAGCTTCCTATTGATGTATAGGACTGCAATTGACCAGTCCGTTATTCGCATATATGTGGATTACCTCGATTTTGTGTTAGGTCACAAGCATTGTAAGCAAAGATGGATGTAGGCTAGCAGTAGAGTACAAAATGTATGTTTTATTCTATCTGGGACTCATCAGTTAGATGTATCTGCATCTCAGAGTTGATGTTTGCTCCAGATAACTCGATAGCTTTTGAAATGAAAGATATTGGATTTGAGTCTTAAAAGATGAAACGCATATCCTGGATTCCACCCGCTAGCTAGCACGATCCATAAGTGTTTTTTTCAGTTTAAGTTTATGTACATAAATTTGTTGATTATCTCTTAGTGAATGTTTGTCTTAACTTCATAAATGATTATGTAACTATCTTACTCTGTAATCAATTGTCAGTTTTAGGGAAGATAAGCATCTATTTACAACACAATTCTAATCACAAAACCATTTCTACTACACAAAACCAAAATCAGTCAAAAATAGAAAAGTAAAATAAATGAATCATTAGCAATCCCAAATTATTTATTCACATGATCATCATCATGCCTAACTCCACCTGATGTCCCTCAGGGGGCTACTGCCGGTCCCAAGCCCAGATAAAGGAGGAGGGTTGGGCATGGAGTTAGCGACTCCATCCCGTAGAAAACTAACTCGCTAAAAAAAACGCTAATCATCATTATGCCTAGTCGATAGAATTACATCAGAACTTAAAGTTATAATGTATCTCCATTTTTGATGAAGATATTGTTTTCTATGGGATTTTAGGGTGTATTGCCCCTAAATGCCCTGATACTGTCGAGAGTGGAGAGAGTCTGCTCTCCCTCTCGAAATACTCTCACATGACCACGCGTATATAGCCTCTAACAGGGAAGTCCTACTCACTGCCTTCTCGTGGCATTACTGTTGTTTGCGAAAATGAGAGGACGAAAAGCGAATTTCCGACGCTTTACCCACATCCCAAACCAATGGTGTACATGGGCTCCAGTATCCTGCCTGAAGGAACAAATGGCGTATGGACCTGTTGTTGGTCACCGGCTACCATGGGACTGCATCTCCTTACGATGCTCCACTGCCTTGTGGATCAGACGTTCAGGTCGAAAGCTCGGGGTGTGGCCCCCTAAGAAAACCACCTGCTTCGGATTGGGCACCCGGGTAGTATCACAGCCCACACAGAAATAAGATCTTCTTTGGACATAACACAAGTATGATAGATGATATAGCTTTTAGAACAAAGACAATAAATGCTTTTTTGATTGAAATCATGATGAGATCAATGTTACTTACATACTTACTTACGCCTGTTACTCCCAATGGTGCATAGACCGACAAACAACATTTTCCAAACCACTCTATTCTGTGCCTTCCTTTCTAGTTCTATGCAATTGTTGTTCATTCTTTTCACTTCTGTCTGCATCTCTCGGCGTGATGTGTTCTTTGGTCTTCCTCTCGTCCTTCGGCCTTGAGGATTCAAAATGTGATGAGGGTTTGAATTGTGAAGCAGTTAAGTGCATTCATCAATGTGTTTCCTATCCACTTCCAGAGATTCTCCACGATTTCTTCCTCCACTCGAATCTGGTTTGTTGTCTCCCATAGTAGGTTGTTGCTGATAATATAGTTTCTGGCTAACGGATCTGAAATATTTTGTGTAGAGAACTGTGAATAAACACCTGCATCTTCTGAATGATGGCTTTCGTAGTTCTCCAAGTTTTCGCTGCATACAGTAGAACTGTCTTGACATTTTTATTGAAAATTCTGACCTTTGTGTTGGTTGACAGTTGTTTTGAGTTCCGGATCAATGATAGATCACCACTAGAAACCTTGAAGCACTAAATGGCCATTTCGTCCTGGTACAAGACACCTTAACAACCCACATTTATGATCCCATACACGAGACTCAATCTCACATGCGAATGCTGAACCTTTAGACCACTGAGGCGTTGTCTAGTAGTGTTACTATCTAACTTCATTTAATCCACAATATTGTGTAACGATCTTCCCCCTTCCATCTTCCACACCCGACACTGTTTATAAATCTGGAAATTTCCCGTCAAATCTATTCACTAGTTGGCACCGACGGTCCTGGGTTCAATTTCTGATATCCGAATCGTAAATGAACACTACTTAGATGACTCTTACTAGAACATTATGGCCATTCAGTGCTTCTAGGTTTTCAATGATGGTCTAACTTGGAACGATTCATGATTTCAATGTTGATAATTTACCATTACCAAATGTCAACATTTTTTATTCTTAGTACACTGTAATTAAACATTTCACCCCTTCCCCCATAATATTAGGTCAACTCTAGATTCAATGAATTGACATTTGAACTTTTGAACATATTGAAGTTGATCTTAAAAAGTAAATATTTTATGTATGAAATTTTTAAGCTATTAAAAACGATCATGTTAATGATCATGTAACCATTCGATTGTGAACATAATACTCTATACTTACTTATTTACTTATTAACGCCTATAACACCTTGTAGAGGAGCATAGGCCACCCACAAACACTCTACATCTAACTTTGTTCTGGATGATCTTTTCCAGTTCTTTCCTTTTTCATGTCTGCTTTCAATTTCAGATGTAGTGTGTTTTTTTTTAGTCTTCCTCTTTTCTGTCCGTTTCCCTTCAGGTGTCCAAGTTAACACTTGCCTCATGATACAGTTTGATGATTTTCATAATGTATGTCCTATTCATTTCTAATCTCTTTTCTTGATTTCCTCTTCATCTGTAAGCTGGTTTGTTTTCTCCGACAGAAGTCTGCTATTGATTGTATCCGGTCAACGGATAACTGTTTATCAATACTTGTACCTTCTCAAAATCTTAGCTGGGTACTGTCGAATGGTCTTGACGTTTATATTGAATATTGTGACTTTAATATTGATTAACAGTTGTTTTAAGTTTCATATATTCTTCAATTGTAAGAATAAAGCCCTTACTCAATGTTTCCCCTTTAAAATAATTCCAATAATGTCCAATTTTAATGTATATTTTTCTAATGTATCTAATGTATACCAGCTCAATGATCGAGTTGGTTAAATGTTCACGTGTGAGATTGAAGGCCCTTAGGTTTAAATCCTGCAAGACAGAATTTATGGATGCTCATTACCATGGTAAAGTTCTAAAATAGAATAAAACGGCCGTCCAGTGTTTTCACGTTTTCAATGATGGTTGTCTAACATCAATTCGTTCATAATCTCAATCAAAAAAAACTTGACAATCTTCACAACACTTCAATTGGTATCTTTAATACATTGAGATTTCTTATTGAAAAAAACAAAAAACAAAAAAAATAATTTTTTTTTTTTAATTTTTATTCATGAATTGATCATAGTTTTATGTGAATAGGAAATATGAATTGGACATAGTTTTGTCCTACATAACAGATATGTAAATATTATAAATATTGATTTTCTTTATGAATACTGATCATTTAATCATTATTTGTTTTTTCTTTATGATTATTATTGATTTTTTTTTTTTAGATTGTTCTCCTATTAACTTTAGATGAGTTCATGAAATGTCAATTACTTACTTACTTACTTACTAACTTACTTACTTACTCACTTACTTACTTACTTACTTGCTTACTTACTTACTTACTTGCTTACTTACTCACTTACTTACTTACTTACTTGCTTACTTACTTACTTACTTACTTACTTACTCACTTACTTACTTACTTACTTGCTTACTTACTTACTTACTTACTTACTTACTTACTCACTTACTTACTTACTTACTTACTTACTTACTTGCTTACTTACTTACTTACTTACTTGCTTACTTACTTACTTACTTACGCCTGTTACTCCAAATGGAGCATAGGCCACCCCACCAGCATTCTCCAACCCACTCACTCAGTCCGGGGCCTTCTTTTCTAGTTCCATCCAATTCTTGTTCATTTTTCTCATGTCTATCTCCATCTCCCGACGTAATGTGTTCTTTGGTCTTCCTCTCCTCATTCGGCCTTGAGGATTTCTTCCTAAAAAAACGCTAACCAGAAGAAGAAAATTATTCATAAGCTTATGCTAATTGAAAATGTATCTCTTACAATGTAATCTTGTGTTAACATGAAAAATGTGCAATTGATTAATCACTGATTAGCGACCAATGTCATGTTGGTCAAGTCTGTAATGCTAATTGATCCCTATCGATAACGTTACAGTGTAATAACTAGTATAGAAGACTTAGCATCGCCTACACTTTATTGAAGTTTTAAATGATTGGAAGTCGTCCACAGGAAAACATGAACTTAGATTTTATGCTAGTTAACACTCATCAGCAAAGCATGCCAGTAATTTTGAGGGAATTGATGCTCACTATGAGGTTCGAAACCGAGTTATTGAATTTTATGGTTTGATAAATTACCAATAAACCATTTAGTGATTGATTGGACTCCTGTAAGTGACATGTTTCCATCAAGTTGGTGGTGACGTCTGGAACCGTCAAATTAAGTGGCGAGGGTTCTATTCCAACAAAGAGTATCAGCCTCTTCAAGATTACAGGTACGTCTTATTGATTTGTGCTAAATAGCAAGACATCTATGTCAAGTAAGGTTTCCTATCTACTACTTTCAACCATCTAATGGAAACAGTTTAATTTGTTGTCTGGAGAAACTATTTGCAAATAATTTTAAAATGTCAATAATTTGTTTTTCCACTCACTAAGCCAGATTTGAATAATTTTTTTCTGGTTAGCGTTTTTTTAACGAGTTAGTTTTCTACGGGATAGGGTCACTAACCTCATGCCCAACTCTCCTCCTTTATCCGGGCTTGGAACTGGCAGTAGCCCGCAGAGGGACTACAGGCGGAGTTACTCACTAAGCCAAGTAGTGGATTATTTGTTAAGATATTTAACTTTCAACCAACAAGTTCCAGGTTAGAACCTCATTTCATCTACTTTACTTTGAGTAACTGGGTATTATCACTAGTTTTAAAAACAAATGTTATACCTTGGACCGTACCAATTACCATATAAATTCTGATATCATTGAGAACCACAACAGAATATCATGAAGTGATAATGTTATTAAAAAAAGTAAGAGGGAACTTTTATACAGTAAATGAATAAACAAAAATAATATTTGATACTTTACTTTTTACTTACGCCTGTTACTCCTCGTGAAGGAGTATAGGCCGATCACCAGCATTCTCCATCCAACTCTGTCCTGGGCAATCTTTTCCAGCTCTTTTCAGTTCTTATTCATCCTTTTCACATCTGATTCTATTTCCTGACGTAATGTGTTCTTTGGCTTTCCACTTTTCCAGTTCCCTTCAGGATTCCAAGTTAGCTATTGTCTCGTAATGCAGTTTGATGATTTCCTCAATGTATGTCCTATCCATTTCCATAATCTTTTCCTAATTTCCTCTTCCGCTGGAAGGTGGTTGGTTCTGTCCAACAAAAGGCTGTTACTGAGGGTATCCGGCCAATGGATGTTGAGTATCTTGCGTAGACAGCTATTGATAAATACTTGTACCTTCTTGATGATGGTTGTAGTGGTTCTCCAAGTTTCAGCTCCGTACAGTAGAATTAACTGCCTTGACATTCGTATTGAAGATTGTGACTTTGATATTGGTTGACAGACAGTTGTTTTGAGTTCCATATGTTGTTCAATTGAAGGTATGCGGCCCCATACATTGTCAATCCTCATTTTTCCGTGTGCATCTGAACCTCCTTGTTCATCGATGATGCTTTCTTTTCTAAAGCGCCAACCAGAAAAATATTTGATAAGCGTTGAAATTATGTTTATGACAGATTTCTTTCCTCATTTCAATTGAGATAGCTCATCCAACCTTTGGTAATGAATTTAATTGAAAATTACACATTGGTCATTATTAGTTTATATTCTAAGCTATATATTATGCCTTTTCAAGCCATTGAAGTTCTACAATCTTCAAAACACTAACTAATCAGTCATGATAGAACGACAGATATTGGTCCTATATACATATGTTCCATATCACGGAGCTATGACGTAGACAGACAATGTCATCATTACTTCCTTCTAGTCCCAGAACCAGCAGATAACACACGATGTTAAATTGTCTACAATGAAATTCGTTAAACATAATCATGTCAACAAATTCCATGGTTTAACCGAAACGATAACATTAATTCAGTAGAAAGTACAATTAATCTCTTTCACCGATAATAAAAACTAATTTATGTGAACATAGTTGATATTACTATAATAGAATTATTACATATCATATCCATCATGATTGTTTACTTAACCAGAGCCATACAAATCATAGATCCATTTAGATTCGGTGGCTTGAAACTATTATCCTGTTTGTGACTATATTGCCCTGGTACGGCCGAGAGTGGAGACAGTGAGCCTTCCTTCTCAAAATACTCTCACATGGCCACGTGCATATAACCAATAACAGGGAAGTCCTACTCACTACCTTCTCGCATCAAGGGTGTTTTTCACGAAATTGAGAGGATGAAAAGTGAATGTCCGGCTCTTTAATCGGATCGGTGCACACACAGAGTCCATCTAAGGGAGTTGAAAAACCACAATTCCAAAAACTTTGGTGCACATGGTCTTCAATATCCTGTAAGAAAAATTGGCGTATGAACCAATCGTTGGTCAACGGCTACCATGGAACTACATCTCCTGACATTGCTCCACTGCCTTGTGGATTAGACCTCTAGGTCGAAGAAAATCACCTACTTCAGTCTGAGCACTCGTTCATTATCCCAGCCTTCATACATATCGAATGATTTATGTTGCACATATGTTTTCGGTACCTTCTTGTACCGATACTTTTGTATTTAAACAAATTAATTAACTATATTGAATAAATTGAAAGAAAAAAACAAAACAAACAGAAACAATCGAATACACACACGTTTTCCGACTTAACTCTTCACATCATTATTTTACAAATTTAATGTTTATTTTTTATTGAAATCATGAACCAATTGATGTCAAACCATCATTGAAAACCTGAAAGCACTGGACGACTGTTTCGTTCTATTGTCGGACTCCTCCACGATCCCACTCGCAGAATTCCAATCCAATGCTTTCAATCTCTCACGTGAACGTTTAACCTACTCGATCACTGATCTGACCATCATCCAATAGTATATTAATATCTAACTTCAACTAATCCAATCTAATAATTTCCAGATTTCCAACGATACTCTAACATTAATCAATTTATAATCTTAATCAAAAACTTAACAATCTTCACAAACCCTTTCCACCCCCCCCCCACCGCTATACTAATAGTTAATGTTTATTAGTTTGTTTTGTTTTGTTTTGTTCTAACTCAGAAAACATCATCATCCTCATTATGACAATATCATGTCCTATCGATTAATTTGCCCCTTAATCAACAAAAAAAACAAAAATAAAAAAAATTGACAATAAAATTTCTAAACTTAATGATTCAATGATTCTTTCTTATGAATAATCCAATCGCGTCTATAAAGAAAGAAAGAAAAATAACACAAAAAAAAACAACATTTTTTTTTATCGTTTCTTTCTTCTAATGAGCATCGTTCATGAAATAGATATACATATATATATATATATATATATATATATATATATATATAAATGTACAAAGAGAGGGGGGGAAGAGGGAGGGAGGGGGGCGAATTATCTATCTCTATCTGCATATCTATCTATCTATATCTATATATACGCGTGCCCTAAGCACTTGTTCATCGATCGACACAAAGTGCTTCGTTTTTTTTTTTTGGTGTTTGTTTTTTTTTTTGAAAACATTGAGTATAGATCATTCAAAAGTGATTAGTGATCATTTATTGAATAAATACTTTATCATTTTATTGAACATGAAAATGAAATCAAGAAAAGAAGTAAATGATTGTCAATTGATTTGAACATTTAAACAAACATAACGAAAACAGGAATAAAACAGGAACAAAAACGGGGAAAATTTGGAAAAAAAACCGAGGGAAACCATATTGAATGAATTGAATGAATTGAAAATATATATTTATGAATAATATACAAATGAATTCAATGAATACATGGTCAACACATAATCATTATCGTCATATATTATATAAACAGTTAACTGATCATCTTCTTAATACAACAAATGATATAGATTCTATGCCAAATACAACTATAAGTAAGTATATTATGTAAATCTTGATGTTTAATGAAAGAGGGATTTTTTTGGTTGTTGTGAATAGTATAGTTATTTTTATTGATTTTAATAGTGAAGATAATGAGTCATTTGAAGTTAGATGATCATGGAAAACTTCAAAGCAGTGGATAGCTGTTTTGTCCTATTGTGAGATTACTCCGTGGTAGTGAGTATCCATGATTTAGCCCCCCCCCCCCTCCTTGCGAGATCAATTTTATGGATGAGTTGAAATTCAATGGTGTAGAGGTTAAGTGCTCGCTCGTGAGATTGATAGTTTCTGAGTTTGAATCGTATCAGGAGCGATAATAGAGTCTTACAATAGGACAAAAATGGCCATTTAGTACTTTCAGGTTTTTCATGATAGTCATCATCTTAACTATTGAAATTTATTCATATTTTGATCGTTACGTTTGATGAAGTGATCTTTTATAAAACATCTACTTGATCCTGTTTCATGTAAATTGATCCATATGACAAGTTATTGATGATTCCGTCAATGGATACCCCCCTCTCACTCTCTTTTACATTGTATCGTTTCAATGATATTTCCTATGATAAGTATCGGGATTTATGTAAGTTGACTTTATTGTAGAATGATTTGATCAGTTAGATACTTCAAAGTGAGAAAGGTGCTTTGAAGGATCTAATCAAATTTCAATCCTTGGGTTCGAGTAAACGTTTTTGAGTAAGAGGATGTGTAAATTGTTGAATTTCATTAATATCATGGATCGATGGCCATTGAAAACCTGAAATTATTAAACAACCACACCATTCTCGGAAGGGATAGCTTAGCAGTGTGTGATCATAATCCTGCACATACGAACTGGACCCAAAATCAAAGGCTCTGGAGTCTTATACTAGGACTATAAAGACGTTCACTGCATCCAGATTTTCAAAGGTTCATGATTTAAAAGAAATGTTTTTGATTTAAAATTCGAACTTACAATTGATGATAACAATAAATTTTAATATGAACACTTAATGATCCTATGCTGTAAAGATCACATTGAAGTGAATTAGGACACAAGTGGGGACAACCGAATGTATTTGAACACAAAATTACAGAAATTCTTAGTAAAATCTGAGAACCAAACAGTAAATACTTCATTTGCAACATATCGGTGAATTGTCTCAGACTTCATTGTTTTTTCGCGTTGACACCAGTCATTTTTTGTTCTCGTTCTCTTTTCTTTGATCTTCTTAACCTTCTGCCGCCAAGTGTTTTAGATTCGATTCATGGTACATACTACTTATATCTATCGATTACAGTAGTACACAGCACAACAAGTTGAGTTGCTCGTGTCAATGAATAACAAGTAACCAGTTCCTTGAACGAAACACTTGCGGAACACATTGTAATTCATTATCAAAATATACGAAAGTAGCATACAACAGGGAAGAGTGGATAACCATTCCAATTCATTAGTTCTTAAAGCGATCACTTTGAATAACAGCATCTGGTCTACCTATCTCGAAATTCTCTCAACTTACGAGATACTGTGATCAAACTCATCATTATCTTCAGTAGAACTAGATCATAACTTTTGTTGAATAATTTGAGATTTACTTAAGTGTTATCAACTTTTCTATCAAATAAACGATTGTGTTTTAGTAAAGCGATCAAGTAATCATTCATCTGACTGTCTTTGCACTGATTCGTTATTTTCGATAAAGTTTCATTTTATCTATTTGACGAGAAAGAAAGAAAGAACTGTAGTTTCAAGATGGTTTTTGTACGAATGAAAAGTGTGTGTGTGTGTGTGAGGCATTGTCAATGGTTGGTGAATGCGAATGACTTCAGGTTATAAATGACTTTTACAATATCTATTTCACACGGTTTGATTCCTACAGTAGATGATAGCGTGGATAATTAGTTCATTGACTAGGTGGGACTTGTTCCAGTATTCAGTGAAGCTTCAAATTGTCTTTTTATTTTTCTTATTCATTTACAGGAATGCTGACGTTTATACATAGCATAGAATTTACTTAATTTAGTTGTTCAGCTGTAAGATGATGACTGTAATTGGATATTCTGTTGCCAAATGTTTATAAGAATGTTTCAAAGGCTGATAGCATTTGTATAAACACTTTTTGTTAACACTTTGAACTTATCCCAAAGCTTTGATCCTTGATCACTTCTGATTACTTGAAACGTACTAATGCAGATCTTGTCGTGATGAGTTTATGGCTTTGTGATAAATGTGGAAAATGGCAAGGTAGTGTACAGGTACAACATCAATTATTATTAAGTAGTATATTCTTAGTCAAATGTGAATTAGATATGATACAATTTGATAATTACGATCAATATTACATCGACGTTATTGGTAGATAGATGAACACAATACAATAGTCTTAGTTATATTTACCTTTATGACAGTTAATAACTCTCTATTTCGTTTTGTTGACAGTAAGTCGAACAGTTAAACGTCTACATAATCATATTGATCTTGCCACTGCTAGTCAAACCGGTACCCATTTCATCACAAGTCAGAGTGTAATTCCCTAGTTTATTAATATATTTGGGTAAATACTTCCTCTGCATACGATTTGTGTTGTAAGCCAATATATAAACTGTAGCACCGAACTAATCAGAAATGGTTGTACTGAGGGAAAATGTCTTAGTAGCCAGGTGACACTATGGTCTACACTATACTATGAGGATAACAATGATCCGCTTATTAAATAATTGTGTTTTTTTTAGTATATGCATGAATGTACCTAAACCCTTTCTTTTAGTATAACGTTTCGGTCACTGAAGGGAACCGAATCATTCGGGTTTTAGAGTTTACAGTTTCCATAAAATAGTACTTTGATCATTTTCACTTTTTATCTTACAGACGATAAAAATGGTGGTGGTTCACCTCATTCTGATATTAAATTAAACATTCAACAAGTGTTAAATGAAGAAAAATCTATTCAGACAGGGACAGGACTGACAACAAGCGCGTCAACTTTTACCACTGGACGACCATGTCTAGCTGGTACTCAAACACTGAAGCACCAATTAACTAAAAATCAGGAAACTAATCTAGACATGACAAATACAAGTATTCTTAGTATGAACGCATGTGACTTTACACAGGACTCTAGTGGACTAGGGTCTATGATTTCTGAACATTGTAACACGAGCAATATTTCAGGTTATTTCAAGGATGGAGACCGGTCTGATTCACATTTACACTGGCCTAATCATAGTCTTATAACTTTAGATGAGGATACAAGCGATATGAGTTTGGATAAGAGTGATGATTATACAAACGGGCCATGTGATAATAACATAGAAGTTCCAATTATTAAGACAGAATATCCACATCTTGAATCTCAAATAAAATCTCCAGAGTTGGCTATGCGAACTTCACCATCTAGCGAAGGAAAATCCGCCATTCAATATGGTTCTAGTGATGAATTTGACTATGACACAATGGTTGCTCAAACACGAATGATTGCTAATCGGGATTTTCAAACAATGGATGAGAATTTCGCATCAGTAGCACGTTACGTTGAAGAGTTGACAGGTTGTAGAGAGTTGAAAAAAACAACTAACACAAAAGATAGCCAGAATACAAAAATTTCGTCTACTAGTAGACAAACAACTCCAGGTAAACCACAGCATTATCATTACCAGCACCATCACAATCAACAACAACAGCAACAACAACAACAGTGTGTGACACAGTCAATGAACTCATCACCTGTCGGTTCTGTTCGTCATCAACAAGATTATCAACTTCACAAGTTACAACAGCTGCAACAGCTCTATCAAAAACTTATTTCATTACCATCAATGAAGTATCCCAAAGTTGATGATAAAAGTAAGTTGAAGTTTGAAATTATAATTTGAACCTATAAAATGTTTCTTGTAAATAATCGTTCAAACAAATTTATTGAGGAAGTTTTGTTGATGGTCATTGTTTGATTCAGAATATCATTCCACTGACATGTTCAAAATGTTCGGTTAGTCTTTTTGACTAGAAATGTGGTAACGGTTCCTTCGGCCAGTTTTCCCGGTGTCCTGTGTGAATAGAATCCCAAGTAGTTTTTTATTTATTTATTTTATTTTAACACATAAGTATAGGTACAGGGAGGCACCAAGTACATATGCGCCACACCAATATCAATTGATTTGTGTGAGGGCTGTGTTACTGCCCGGGTGCCCAAACCGAAGCAGGTGGTTATCTTAGGGGGCCATACCCTAAGCCTTCGACCTGAACGTCTGACCCATAAGGCAGTGGAGCATCGTAAGGAGATGCAGTCCCATGGTAGCCGGTGACCAACAACAGGTCCATACGTCATTTGTTCCTTCAGGATACTGGAGCCAGCCCATGTGCACCATTGATTTGGGATCCGGTTAAAGCGCTGGACATTCGCTTTTCGTCCTCTCATTTTTGTAAACAACAGTAGTGCCACGAGAATGCAGTGAGTAGGACTTCCCTGTCAGAGGCTATATACGCATGGCCATGTGAGAGTATTTCGAGAGGGAGAGCGGACTGTCTCCACTCTCGGCCGTATCAGGGCATTTGGGGGCTTCCCAAGTAGTGTGAATTACTATATATATATATATAACTGACCATGATAAATGTTTATCCACTATGTGATAGGTGAATCTCTCAAAGCCGAACTATATGTATCAACTATTCTAAATATCCTTTGGAAGGTTAATTGAAAGGTTAGATCAAAGCGATTCATCTTCATAGATTCCTTTCAACTGTCTTATCGGTTTACATTGACAAGACTTTCAAATATATTGATTTTTTTTATTGATATTCCATTTCCTTTTGCTTTATTTCAATAAATAGGTTCTACTGAATTAACAACACAAGATTTACTGTTGCGTCTTTTGACCAATCAGAATATTAATGAATCTTTATTGAATAATCTATTACCAAGTGTTGATACAGTTATTGAAAAGAATAATCGAAGATCTTCATCAACTATTGGTCAGAATTGTAAACAATTTAATATTTCAACTAATCAATTGCCTAGAAATAATCGAAGAGTTACATTAAATGATTTAACTTCTTATGATGAATGTCTTCTTCGTAGTATTTTGTCTAATACACCTTATACATCAATGCAAAATAATACAGATGGAATACATCCTATTCATATGCAAGGATTTCATCATAATAATGAAAGTTTGATTACTAATGTTCACAATAGACGATCAAATCCATTACAGAATCCATTGTTATCTTCAAATTATAATCAATTAGTTAATTTAATCTCACAACTAGATACTAATGCTGTAAAAACTGATTTACTTTCTCATACAACATCAATGAATACAAATACTATGGCTTTATTAGCCAGTTTATTAAATACTACTCAATCACAATCGAATACATCTGTTCATAATCCTAGTTCTACACCACAAGAACAACATAATATGCTTTATAGTCTTTTAGCAAATCAATTGTCCAGTTTTCAATCTGATTCTACATTGAACAACAACAACAACAACAATAATAATAATAATAATAATCATGCGAACATCTCACAACTCCTTCATGAACGTGTATCAAACGAGCGTGAAACAAGTTTACTAAATTCTATACTATTAAAATCGGACTATCAAGGAGATCATATTTCATCTTCACCGCTTTCATCTTTACAACGTCGTCAATATACATTATCTGATAATAGTTTAACAGAAGAACTATCTCAATTAGCTTTACCTTATCAAAAATTAATGAGTTCATTTGAAAATGATATTGATAAAGCAGCAAATGTTTATAGAAATTCTGCAAGTAAGTTGAATCTATCTCCTACCAAGGGATAAACATTTTTCTTTTTTTTTTTGTTGTTGTAAATATTCATTAAAATAACAAACTAACTCATGATCTTGAGTTCGAATCTCACAGGGGGCGTGGTCGTGGATGTGCCCTGCTGAGGAGGCGTCCAATGATAGGACGAAACGGCTTTCTAGTGCTTCCAGGTTTTCCATGGTTGTCTGACTCATGATCTTAACTATTGAAATTATTACAATCTCTACAAAACCCCTTCTGATAATGATAATTAAATGTTTAAAAGTGAATAATTTTCAGATTATATTCATTACTTTAGGTACAGTGGCTCAAACAAGTGAAGCAGCTTATCATTGGTCAGGAAAATTACCAATTCGAGTTCATCGATCTATGACTTTCTCTCGTAAAGTATTTCTTGGTGGAGTACCTTGGGATAGTACAAGTGAAGAATTGATTAGAGCTTTTTCTCGATTTGGTAATGTTAGTGTTTGTTGGCCACAAAAGGATGGATCAAACTCTAGTAATACACATCTTAAAGCTTCATCAACTAAAGGTAGGTAATTTGGATACCAGAAACTTTGAATCTTTCATCTGTTTTACTTTATTTAATGATTATTTTATTAAAATTATTATTTTAGGTTACTGTTATCTGGTATTTGAACATGAAGTCTCTGTTACTGAACTACTTGCCAACTGTGTTCATAACCCTACAACAGGTGGTGAATATTATACAATATCAAGTCCTAAATTCATATCCAAAGATGTACAGGTCAGTTTATCATTTGCAATTGTTTGCCAATGGAATTGCAGTACTTTTACCTCTGTCTCTCTCTCCATTTATCTGCTTCATTCTAAACGATTCCATAAGTTGACATGCTGGAGAAGATTTGTAGCTCAGGTGGATGATTTTGATGAAGTTTTGTTCTCTGAGCTGGATGGTTTGATCGTGGAGCTTTTATCGTTCTTCTGAACAATATCATCATCAACACAAACTTCAGATAGAAGTGAAGTGTTCGAATTTCTCGATATTTCTTTAGCAAACATGGATAGTGGCTAACAGTGGAATACAGTTTGATGCGTGTTTGGTCCTATTTAGAACTTGTCAGCTGGATGTACTTGCAGCTTGTATTGTAAACCATCCGTTATATCAAAGATTGATCTAAGAGATTTTGAAGATAATCATATTTTAAGTCAATTTTCGAGAGCACTTTAGAACTATGAAGTCGATTAAGAATATATTCAGCTTCCATCGTCGTGTATGTTTGCTTCAGCAAACTGTAGTTTAGTGTTTCGCTATAGTCACCATAGATTCTACGGATCCTGCCACCAGAATTCAAGAGTGTGACAATAGGAGTACCCTATACTGAAGATTGAATCGGTTCAATTATACCTTTCGCACACAAATTGTTCAATGTCTTATGTACTATTTCTTGATGACTATGAGGAATTATTCGTCTTTTAAGAAACACTAGATCACCCTGTACTTGAAGCGTTATAAGCTGCATTCTCATCCTTCCACTTCTTTCAGCACATACATTTGTCAAATCTCTAAGCAAAGAATCAGAATCTTCTTTAGAAGCTAATAAAGACAACTCCACTATAAACCTTCTCAAATTTTTTTTAAACCCAATATTGACAGTCCTATTTCACTAATTAGAAATTCACAAGGCAAGTATGAAGAATTCTCAGCATCCTTGTATGCATAGACTGTATTCAGTAATCCCCAATACTTACTAGGTTCATTCTGATTAGTCCATATACTTGGGGCTTTCGCTGTTAATTTTTCTTTGTAGGCACCAAACCTTTCATGAAGCATTTCAGCTGCTTCAGTGTTGATCTTGTGCTCTATTACTGTAGGATATAACTCTATTTCTAATCTATTTTCAAGTTTCTTGAGGTTAACACTGTTTCTGTTCTTTCAGCCACACATTCAGCTATCTAGATATTTCTCCCATTTAAACGGTATTGTGTTCATCTCAATTATTCTGATAAACAATGTATTGTTACTCTTACTTCAGTAAGTCATACTTAACTTCAACGAAGACCCATCTTACAATATTAATGGCACGGGTAAAAGCTAAAACTCGTGAAGTTAAGAATCCAGTTGCTTCACCACTTTTTTTCCCCAGAAATATGTCCTTCAAGTATGAATAGGGTGGATCGTAAACGCAGTTCCAAACACTTGGAAAGATCTAATTGTCATCGGAAACAACCATAACAAACACTATGGATAGCTATATCATTAAATGAGGATGATAGATATCGAAACTTCCCGTCATTTCGTTATTTTCCATGTGACGGCTGCTGATATTGTCCTTGAAATCAGTAAAGTCTATAATTGCATAATTAATCAAATATCTTTGCTAAGTAATTCGCTAGTTTGTATATTGGCGATTTTGCCCCCAAATGGCCTGGTACGGCTGAGAGTGAGGAGAGTCCGCTCTCTCTCTCAAAATGCTCTCACATGACCACGCGTATATAGCCTCTAACAGGGAAGTCCTACTCACTGCATTCTCATGGCACTACTGTTGTTTACGAAAATGAGAGGACGAAAAGCGAATGTCCGGCGCTTTAACCGGATCCCAAACCAATGGTGCACATGGGCTGGCTCCAGAATTCTGAAGGAACAAATGACGTATGAACCTGTTGTTGGTCACCGTCAACCATGGGACGGCATCTCCTTACGATGCTCCACTGCCTTGTGGGTCAGACGTTCAGGTCGAAGGCTTAGGGTATGGCCCCCTAAGATAACCACCTGTTTCAGTCTGGGCATCAGTAGTTCCACGAGAAGGCAGTGAGTAGGACTTCCCTGGCAGGGGCTGTATACGCGTGATCATATGAGAGCATTTCGAGAGGGGGAGCGGACTCCTCCCACTCTCGGCCATACCAGGGCATTTGGGGGCCTATAGAAGGATGCAAAAGGATGCATCTGATGAGGTTACGCAATAATCAAGGGGTAAAGAAGAAATCATAAAGGTCAGATAATTGCCCAATTGACAGATATAAAGAAAAACAACAAACATAAAAAAGGTCATAATCATAAAACACTGAATACTAATCAAGAAAACTTGTTTAAAGATCAATTTTCTTCGTTGAATTCTCTTTATTTTTATTCAGTGAAACAATAGGTTATTTTAATTATCTAAAGAGCTGTATGGATCCTCTACTTTAATTTAAAACAAAAAAGACTTAACCAGTAGGGCTAATCCGTGTCAAGTAGGGACAGGGATCAACTTCAGCACAATGGAAGATGGTCACGTAGTATCGTAGATTGGTTGAACGTGGATATTAACACCGACTTGATGCCGATTCAGCGATCCAGTAGGTTAAGTGGTTGCGCGTGAGACCAAAGACCCTGGGTTTGAATCCCACTGGCGGGATTGTGAGTGCGCTACGCTAACGAGTCCCACGAAAGGACGAAACGGCTGTCCATTGTTTCCAGGTTTTCAATGTTGATTCAGGTGTATTTGTAAAGAGTTTACCGCCTTTCACTATACAGTTGACATTGTGGTGGATGTCAGTATTCATTGAAAAAAGAATGATCATTGTTGATATGTCGATTCCTGAACATCTAACATCTAACTGTTGTTATCAAATGTAATCTTCTACCTTAATCTGTCGAATAAATCGACTGGTTCGATATTATTATTATGAATAAAACGAAACTGATACACTTATTTTATGCTATATATTTATAAAACTTACTTTACAGGTTATACCATGGGTCATTAGTGACAGTCAGTATACAAAATCAACTCCCAGCTCTTCAGATATCAAGAGAACTGTATTTGTTGGAGCACTTCACGCCTTGATTACAGCAGAAATATTAGTAACCATTATGAATGATTTATTTGGAAATGTGATTTTCGCTGCTTTAGATACAGACAAGTATAAATATCCAATAGGTAGGTGATTGTACAGTAAACATCGATTTGTTTTCAACGTTCCAGCGTTCCATGGAACATGTTACCAAGTACAAAATCACTTATCAGTATCCTATATTTTAAATTTAAATTATGGACGACCTTTTGAGTAACGCCAAAATGACCTTGATAGTATCTACCTACAGACTAGGACTAAATGATTCACAATTCATAGGTTTGAGGTTAGAAATTAGATTTTACAGTTTTACATCATGAACTGATATTAACTAAAATACCACGACGCTATATGACCAAAATGGGTGGGTGAATGTCGCGCCAAAATCCAAGATCTGTCATCGTAAATCTGATTGGTTCATTCATAAATTATAGTCTCACCACAATCCAATTCTCGTTGATAATACATTTAGAACAATAATTTTTTTCTTAAATAGTGTGCAGAATGTTCGAAATGACTTTAAAAAATTTCTGATTATTCCATGTTACTAAGGAAATATTGAACCAATCAAAAAATAAAATGTTTCAATAAGTCACGCAAATTAAGGCCATGGTAACCGAGTTAAAAACGAGTTGGTAAATTCCGATTAAACGTAAGTACATTATGTAAGTTCGTTTGGTTTTCTATGAAGGATGATTAAGTGAAGTTTGTCTATTAATCACTAAATAAATGCAATATCTCATTCACTTGTTATAGTGAATTAGTCAGTCAGTCAGTCAGTCAGTCAGTCAGTCAGTCAGTAACAACATAGAACTTTGTATGGCAGTACATCAGTTCGAGTTGCCATACCACATTACCACAGAGATGCAATTGTCAATTCGAATCCCGTAGTGGTAGAGGTAGTAGGAGTATAAGCAGTAATCGGAAAGATTAGGGTTTGAACATGTTATTCAAGGAGTATAATCCAGTGAAATAGATTTGGAAAGAGAAATAAGGAAGGGATATGAAGAATTCAGAAGATTAGAATTTCGGAGAACACAAAGAGTAGATGCACCTGCGCCATTGCAAACGACCTTGATCCATATCATTCAGAGTCTCTAACCATCGGTTGCTAACCTTTCGTGGTCCCCAACCAAGTAGTCTACACCTACTAACATGGCTCAATTCACTTGTCAGTGACTTCATAGATTTGTGTTATGTTTTGGTTTGGCCACCCCTAGTTTTCCTCCAACCTACTCCTAGTGAATTAACCACTAAGAATAATCTGTCTGTCTAAAAATTATACAAACATACTAATCAAATGTGTATATCGGCTTCTTCTATCCAAACAGAAATAGTCAAAGGATAGAAGTGAATTTTTCAAAGATCTCAGAGATATTAATTTTTTGTCATGATAGACGGAATAAGAACGATTAAACTTTAAAGAGATGACATAATTTGCCCTTAATTATATTCTTATCAGTAACTATAATGCCATAGTTCGAGGTCTAGATCAATAAAATGCGCGTTTAAAGTCAACAAATAAAATCTATAACCCCCCCACCCCCACCACCACCACCTCCAGTCAATAAGTTTGTTTCTAAGGCAAATATACTAATTTTAAAAATTTGCTTATTATTACATTCACTTGTCTATCTTGTATTGATTTTTTTTTGATAATAATATTTAGGTTCTGGCAGAGTGATTTTCTCTAGTCATAAAAGTTATATGAAAGCGATTACAGCTAATTTTGTGGATATTCGTACTACAAAATTTATTAAAACAATTCAAATTGATCCTTATTTAGAAGATGCTGTTTGTAATAGTTGTCTCTCATATCCTGGCATGTATTTTTGTAGAGCATTTGAATGTTTTAATTATTTTTGTCCAGCATGTTGGCATATATGGCATAATTCAACGGAAACATTGTATACACATAAACCTTTAAGGAGAACATTTAAACCAAATATTGATCGGCAATGGCAAACTGGTGTAGTTGTAACAACCACGATGACCACGACGACGACGACGACGACGACAATGACGATGACGATGACGACTATGATGATGACAACGGCAGCGACAACAATATCTCCAACGATAACAACAACAACAACAGCAGCAGCAGTACAAAGTAGATTTTAGTGAATATGATCAATCCAATATGATGATCATTGTTGTTTATTATAACCTCTTAAAGTTTTGATTATCCAAAATTTAGTCTTTAACAGTTTTTATATACTCTGTATTGTTTCTGTTGTTTAACCGCCCGCCCGCCCCCCCCCCCATTTTGATGGATTGAAATACAGTTTTGTACTCTATTATTATTACACAAATTTCATATTTTAAAAAGGTTTTAGTACGATTATATAGAGAAAGGAATAATCATAATAATGATCATAATAACTCTGTTATACCCAATGGTCACCACTCTACAATGATTAGTGTAAGGGATTAATAATAATAATAATGATTATTATTATTATTATTATTATTATTATTATTATATCATACATACTCTTCTATAATATTCCATTCGAGTCTTTATCACTTTTTATAGTAACCATTTTTGGTTCGTCTTGTATGTTTTGTTTTTTTTTCTCCTGGAATTTTTAATAAACACACACACACACATTCACACACGCACACACGCGCATACGCACCAATTCTGAAGGTGTTCACTCTTCTTCTTTTTTAAACAATAATAATAATAATATGATTGTATTCATGTGTTGTTTATTCATATTAGTTGCTATGAGTAATATGAGAAAAGTTTGTTGTTAAATCATCTTATATTATACGGTTGTTTTTTGTTAATAAAAGAAATACCTTTTAATGAATTGTATATTTTGTTTTGGAGTAATGGTTGGAACCAGCTGTTTAGCAATATGGGTTTAGTCTAACATGGTAAAAGTGTATATCATCAGTTTTGAAGAATTAAGTAGTTGGATCAATAAAATAGATTGTTATAAAGTCCTGTTCTCTTTAGAATACATTTATCTGTTCGTTCAGTGGACGCCCCACCACCACCACCACCACCACAAATGCTGTGGTACGACTGAGAGAGGGGAGAGTTGAACCATCCAGCTCAGAGAAAAAAACTTCATCAGAGTCAGCTCTCCCTCACATGGTCACGTGCATACAATCAGGGAAGGGAGGGTTCACCTAGGAGAGTTGGAAAACCTTAATTCCAAATGAATGGTGTACAAGGCCTCTAGTATCCTGATGGAACAAATGGGAAGTGAACTAATCATTGGTCAACGGCTACCATTGGACTGAATCTCCTGACGTTACTCCACTGTCTTGTGGATTAGACCTTTAGGTCAAAGGCTCGGGGTGTGGTTCCCTAAGAAAACTATCTGCTTTTGTTTGGGCACCCGGGCAGTATTGCAGCCCTCACAGAAACCGAATGGTTTATGTGGCGCATATGTATTCGGTGCCTCCTTGTATTAATGTTTATGCTTTTAAATAAATAAATAAATAAATACAGTGAACCCATCCTTTATTTAATGAGTCATTGTGAGTAGTTTTGTGTTTAAATCTCTTGAAATGAAGGAGAAGATAACTAACTAAGTTACTCACGCTTGTTACTCCTCGTGAAGGAGCATAGACCGCTCACAAACATTCTCCATCCAACTCTGTCCTGGAAAATTCTTTCCAGCTCTTTATAGTTCTTATTCATCCTTTTCATATCTGCTTCTATTTCCTGACGTAATGTGTTATTTGGCCTTCCACTTTTCCAGTTCCTTTCAAGATTTCAAGTTAGCACTTGTCGCGTAATGCAGTTTGATGATTTGAGTAATGTATGTCCTATCCATTTCCATCATCTTTTCCTAATTTCCCATTCAGCTGTAAGTTGGTTTGTTCTCTCCCACAGTAGGCTGTTGCTGATGGTATCCGACCAATGGATATTGAGTATCTTACGATGCGATTTTATCTATCAACATGTAATTCAACTAACTAACTGATATAAAGAACTTAAACCTCGTTTTACTTCTGATGCCTGTTCATCATTCAATCATTTCCAACATACTAGTTGAACACTTCAGTATTGTCAGAAATGAATCACTTCAAAAAGAAGGATAGAAGAAATTGAGTTCCTTTCAAATAGTCCCCAATTCCATTAAAGGGGAATGTTAAGAGTAGTACGTTTTCAAGAAAAAATATATTATACCCAAATTAGTTATGACATTTTAGGGTTTTAATATTACAGTACCTCAATATTGTGGAATTTGTAATAATACATTCCAACTTCTTAGTCAACGATGAACTCCTATTGAATCACATAAAATAGACGATTCAGCAATGAATGTTTCTATGTCAGTATTAGAGAATGAGATTATTCAAAAGTTATCAGAAGGGATTGTGTGGAGATTTTAGAAATTTCACTGGTTGAAATCATGAATTCATTGAAGCTAGACCAACATGGAAAACCTGGAAGCACTGGACGGCCGTTTCGTCCTAGCTTCAATGGATTCATGATTTCAACCAGTGAAATTTCTAAAATCTCCACACAATCGCTTCTGATAATAATAATCATCTGCTCACTAGTGACTGACTTCAAGAGATACTCCTGGAGTTCTAGTGAGAAGCCGTTAACAGTAGAGTTCAACCAGGTCTGTTGTGAGATATCAGCTCACTGAAGACAATGGTGTACGGTGGCACAACTTCGTGGATTGGTTGAAATTAGACATTAACACCGTTGGATGCCGGCTCAGTGGTCTAGTTGGTTAAGCGCCTGACGCGAGACTGACAGGTCCTGGGTTCGAATCTCGCGAGGAGCGGAATCGTGGGTGCGCACTGCTGAGGAGTCCCATACTGGAACGAAACGACCGTCCAGTGCTTCCAGATTTTCCATGGTGGTCTAGGTTCAATGGAATCATGATTTCAACCAGTGAAATATTCATAAGTTCTTTTTATCAGAGCAAATCAAAGTTTATCATTCATACTTTCAGGTCTGTAACACTTTATGGAGACCATGTCTACAGAGCAGCCACAGCTTAAGTGTGCACATTCATGGTTTTACGTTCAAAGCAAACCTATTTTTGAGCATTAACTAATTAAAATCTCTTTAATTCACATTCTTTATTGACCGTAATTTACTTAATGCTGAATTGTTAGCCCACCGTCTTAAACAAGATACCAGACATATAGTACCTTATGTAAGATTTTGGGATTATTATTGTAGAGACAATGAAATTTCACTGAACCAAGTCATCTAGCAGTTGAGTCACTGAATATCGAACAGATCATTGATCCCTATCAAAGTCAGGGATAATCAACGTACATCAGTTAATTGTATGCCATGGACTAGCCCATGCAGTGGTGATCTCATTATCTTCTCTGTACTCATTCCTAGTAATATATTTCCGTAATAACATCCTTTGTGTTGTATGGTTTTCAAAGCATCCATAGTACCTTCATACGACGAAGGAGTAATCCACGTTAGGTGCTGATCTCGAGGTATGATTTCGACGTTAGCTGTTGGTCACACCATTCCCGTCTAACTCAAGTAGGTCCCCACAATCATTTGACATAGATCATCAAGGTTGATGGCCTACATTATTATTATTATAAAAAGGATATAAATGAAATAACACTACAATCCTAAGCCAATTAGATTCGAGATGAAATATTTTAAATCTTACCATTAAAAGGAAAATTTTATCCAGACCTATGGGTCATTTATTTTAAAAGTAATTCTGAAAAGAATTTTGTGGAGGTTTGTTCTCTGAGCTGAATGATTTGATCGTGAAACGACATCATCACTGCAAACTTCAAGTAGACTACTTATGTGCTAATATAAGTAAGCAATCAAATTATATGAATGCCGAATTATCCAAAATGATTAATTTGAATTCCTTAAATAAGATCCCAAAGATTGACATACATGTAGTAGAGACAGAATATAGGATACTAGTATAACAATTGATTGATCACTGGGTGGTGACCAATGTCATGCGTGTCTAGTCCTTATTATTAATGCAGATCGAATTCTATCGACTATGTTGTGATGTGGTCACCAGTCTAGGTGACTCGACACTGTGGGCACTATTGTGAGATTAGATGGTGGTTGGAGGTAGTCGACAGGATACTAGTATGCTATGAAATTAGAACATAGATAGAAGTGAAACAACTACTCACCAAAGTTATTGAATGCCTATCATATCACATCACGAAACAACTGTTATTGTAAACAACAACCCTCCGATTCCAACTTAGTGATCTAAATGAATACGAGTTTTTTCGAGTATTACATATCATTAATTCGATTACGTTTCTAGTTGCGAATTTAGATGTGGTATACTTGGAGTCTGTCACTAAACTTGACAAAACTGAGATAGATGTAGGAGTTAACGAGAGCCTAAACCTAGGGCCAAATATAAAAATAAGGTTTATTTCGAAGGTTTATTGACAAATCGTAGTAACAGTAGTAGTAGTAGTAGTAGTAGTAGTAGTAGTAGTAGTAGTAGTAGTAGTAGTAGTAGTATTAGTATTAGTATTAGTAGTAGTAGTAGTATTAGTAGTAGTAGTAGTAGTATTAGTATTAGTAGTAGTTGTAGTACTAGTAGTATTAGTAGTAGTAGTAGGTAGTAGTAGTAGTAGTCTTAATGTTAGTAGTAGTAGTTGTAGTAGTAGTAGTAATAGTAATAGTAGTAGTTGTTGTTGTTGTAATAGTAGTAGTAGTAGTAGTAGTGGTAGTAGTAGTAGTAGTAGTAGTAGTAGTAGTAGTAGTAGTAGTAGTAGTAGTAGTAGTGTGGTATGCACTATTTCTGTGGTCAGATATAAGTAGTATATAGCAGGAAGTGGAAGTAGGATGTTTCGCAGAAAAGGACTGAAATAAAGAAAAGCAAATGTGAAACCAAGAGCAATCGGAATTACAACAGGATGAGAAAAATGATGAAATATGTAAAGGACAACTGTAGAAAGATATATAAATGATATATTCAATGTATGATTTTCATATTTTATGAAGGTACTGTTTAATTCTACAGTAAACAGGTTTTCCCCATCAAGTCACAATTGACTGGAATCATTCTGTATCATGCATGATACTACAAGCATAGGATTAGCTTGCTTCACAACCAAATTCTCATAAATAAATAAGAACGAGTTTGAAGTATTTGGGAGTTCTTCCATCCGAATTTTTGCATTTGTTATTTTCGTTGTGTGTGACAACCACAGAGGCATTACACTATTGTCAATACCAGGAAAAGTCTTTAACAGAGTATTACTGAACAGGATGAAAGAAGC